AAACTTTAATATAAATTGATATATTTGTAAAGTGCACTAAAAAAAGGTTAGATTGTTTATTTTAATGGGTATAACAAGGACTTAGAAATAGACAAAGTATTCAGAATTTCTTCTTTAAAGGATCCTATAAAGCAGAAGATAAGGTTATAAAAATATGATAATCTACTATCTCTGGAGTGTATTATTAAATTAAATTTCAATATTTCTTCAAAGAATATACTCTAATTTGTTTAATAATAAATAAGTGTTGATATAAGTATAATAGTCCAAATATTTCCAAAATTTAAAGGTGAATTTGTTCTGACAAAGATTTTTATGTTCTGTCATACGTCAATCTTAAAAGCAAAACCCTTTACAAAATGTTTTATAAAAAAAAAAAAAAAAAGGTAATTTCCAAGACCTTTAGATAACTTACTGATATTAAATTGAGTTAATATCCAAGTTTATACTCTTTTTATGACAGAGAAAAGATACATATTTATATATAGGTCTGCTGATAACTATGTTCATTATTGCCACTTAAAAGGTTGTAGAAAAGACAAAGTTTAAAAAGTTTATAAAAAAGTAGAATTTATTTGATATAATCAAGGTTTTTATCTATCTGGCTAAAAATTTAATAAGTTTATTTATGAAATTTTTAAGAACTTTTAATATCAAATAGCATATACAACAAAGAATTGGGGTCTTTGTGTTAAAATAACAACATTTTCTTTGATTACTAGGTTGAAGAGTTAATTAATTTTTTGTGTAATCTGCCTCAATGACCAGGGTTTGGCCTCTCATTAGAATAAGATTCCTAGTATAAAACATAGCTTCATGGTTTTGAAAAAAATAAGGTTTTTAACTTAAAAATCATTGATTTAAATAACTTATGGTATTGTTTCTTGGTGATCTATAATAAACTACCGACAAGTTTGAAACTTTATGGAAAGTCACAAAGAATTTGTTTCTGTTGCATAAAGAAAAAAATGCTAAAAAGGTTTATTTAATGTGTTATGAATTACATAAAACATGTTGTCAAATCTGGAAAAGTACCAAGTCTCCTTTGAGTTAAAATGTATATATCAGTAATATTTGCCTAATACTAAACAACAAGCACATGATATTATGTAATAATTTTATTGTTTCCATTGCTAACTTAGTTCCAACTTTGTTTCTTTTAAATCTAGCATCATCAAAGCCAATGGTTTTAATTAGGGAATGTATAGCATTTATCTATAGTGGCTTTATTGCCATTCAAATATTTAGCTTAATATATCCTGACTATATAGCACTATGTTTCAAGATTATTATATATTATAGCTGAAGCTCTTTAGAAATGAGGTTAATTATTATGTTTAGAGATATTTTTGTCTAAAGTTTTTATTTGATTTTATTTGGTTTTGCCTTACTTTTGTAGTTAATTCCCATCAAGTCTTTTCACTTTTAAGAATTAATATTATATGTTAACCATAGCCATTTTTAAGGCTGTCATTCACAGATAAATTTTACCTTACTGATTCACTGAAAATGCAATAAAAAGGGACTATATCACTTCAGCCAAAGATTAGACAGGTCCATAAAACAAACAGTAATACACATAACTCAACTAAATGGGCACACCAGCCCAGGGGCAGGGACGAGAAGACAGGAGGGGACAGGAAAGCTAGACGAATAGAAATGGGGAACCCAAGGTTGAGAAGGGGAGAGTGTTGACATGTTGTGGGGTTGGCAGCCAATGCCACAAAACAGTATGTGTATTAATTGTTTAATAAGAAACTAATTTTCTCTGTAAACCTTCATCTAAAGCACAATGAAAAAAATAGACTATATTAAACTTATAAAAAGAACTATAACATCGCAAAGATGGATATAATTGGACTAAATAAAAATTTTTAAAACTCTTGTGTAGAAACTGACAAGGTTTTTCAAGTTGCTGCTGATCCAGAATAGCATGGAATCAAGATTAGCTACACAGACCAAGTAAACTAAGAGAATCACTGTAAGGTTTTAATGAAAATATTTCTAAATATAAGAAACTATTTTTCTTTTCCTTCTTTTCTTTTTTGATGTAAGAATCAGCTTTTGCAGTAACTGATAACATTACATTGATTACAGAATATCCTATAAATTAAAAGATGTTAGGGCTCATGTCAAAATTCTGACTGAAATATATTCAGAAAATGCCACAGATTACAAGAAATGAACACTAAACTATGATGAGAGAAGCAGTTCTTCAAAATGGTCCTCCCTTATGTTGCTTACACCGACTCTAATATTATTAAATATTGTCAATCTTTAATCCAATACTCTAAGGAATGTTTTCACAGGTTAAAACAGTCTATGACAACTAAAAACCAAAATCTCAAAATCTGCCTAATATTGTTCCAGAGTACCAAGTATATTAGAAAAAACATCAGCTAAAAGACTCCCTGGAGCCTCGTTAGAAAAGACCATTACATAGTTTTCCTTGCTAATCCTTGTGCCACTAAATTACAGGGAGTTAAGTTCTGGATACACCTCTTCCAATTAAAGAAGACTATGGCCCTTATTTAGACTGTCCAGCCAACTAAGGGACTCAACTTAAACTCACTTGCCCCGGTGTTAGGAAGCAGACGACTGCAACAGAAGCAGACAGGTCTACCCAAGACCATGGAACAATACTCTATGCAGGCAGCTAAGATTTTGGACTGTGCTTAAAATCTTTCCTTTTCTGTCTATCTTATTTGTTCTTCACCAAGTAGGTCTACTTCTGTGGTAGAATATTTTATATGGGAAGCTTTAAAGTAATTGCTGTTTGTCTAATACTTATAACTTTTAAGATTGCCTTATTTTATCAACTAGGATTTATAGAATGGTGATGTTGGATTAATTATTGTCTTCATTTTTATTGAACTGTATTACCATTGTAGGCTTACATTTAGGTTGCATTATTCCCTTATCAGAAAAATTTCCTAATTATTAATACTATCATGTGAATTTATATAACTTGTTTAGAGCTTGAGTCACTTTTATGCTTGTTCATTCTTAGCATCTTAGTTACTTTTCTGTTAACAATTGTGTTCCATCAACCCTATGATAGTAACTGAAAGGATTTATTTTATATTAGCTATAATTTGTTGCCTTATTGCTTTCGTATTTTACCTTTAGGCAGTATTTTTACATTATAAAGCTTACCTTAAGTATCATCAAAAACTGTTTAGGTACATCCTATACCCCCTATGACTTTACCGTTCCTTTCTAATATCTTCAGTTAGCTATCTAATAGTACAGGTTTTTTATTACAATCTCTGTTGCAAACTGGATTAATTAAATTAATAATAATAGTTTTTATTACTGGAATTATAAAATGTGTCATAAGATGCACCTCTACTGTAGGAACTGATAACTCTGCTTCATCACATGCTCAGAGAATTATGTAGATCAACAATGCATTTGGGAACCCAAAACTAAAAAAGCTTCATGACTTAGATTAGCCATTTAAAAGAAGGTCAGGTTGTTCCTCCAATGAGGCCATACCCCAACCATTCCCCATACCGAGATCACTGAAGATGGCTGCTCAGCCATAGCATGGTGGACTTACCGGAGCTTCCCAGCAACCCAGGTACCAGTGGTACCTGACTATGGAAAAAAGGGGGCTTAACACGAGAAACAAGAAAGATATAAACTACAAAAGTTAAGCCACCACCTGGGAACAGCATACTGACAAATCCATACAGAAGAGAGTATGCCCATAAGTGTGATCAAAGGATGTTCTTCAAAATCTTTGATCAAAAGGGGAGAATGACATGGGATACAAAATCAAAAGAGGCTTATGACCTAAAATAAAATGGCTTAACTAATGTGAAAAGCTCAGTGTGTAACCTTTCACACAGATTCAAACTCTGTTGCTTAGGACCCAATCCTATTATTAAGGCTTTGTGGGTAAGCCAAGACTGAATCCGTAACTAAACCTTATTAAAAACTCTTTGTATTAGATCTCGCCAAGAAATTGCCTGCTCTGGGCAATGTAATGTTTAACAACCTGTTCCCAACAGTAGCTGTCTTGCCATCATCATGCCATTGTTTGTGACCAGTCATGAGATCCCTCCATGAACACGCATCTTGTAATTATGTCTTTTAGCCAATCGATGTATGCTAATTGTATTAACATAACCAATAATGTTAAAGGTCATGCTTTCCCTTCCCCCACATTTGACCGACCTTAATCACTGTAAACTAATCAATTATGTTTGTAGTTCCTCATATGACAGTATAACTATGGTTGATTTTACCCTTTTCTTTGGAATCCATGAGCTTCAGACCCTGAGGTTGTCATGATTCCCTCATTTGAATGATATATTGGCTTCAGTAAATCTCTTTGATTCTGGAGAGTCTTTTCTCTATAATACACTTGTTGAGGCCAAAAATGTCATAGGAAGGAGAAAAGCAGTCTGGGCAGGAACGTTAAACCAATAGCACACGCCCCATTTGTAGGGAATGTGAGCTCAGTGTTGCCAGATGTTCCAGTTTTTCAAGAGGAAATCTAATTTTTTAAGTGAAATCTCTCAATATTTAGATGTTTGCAACCAATTTAAAAAAATTAAAGCTGTCGTGTGATTCAAGCAACACATATAAAATATAGCATACAGCCACGAGTTTGTAAAATGAAAATGTAATTACCAGCATCTTCTCACAAGCCTCTCATTCTTTAATAATTCAAATCTGATTTCTTGAATATTTGAGGTTGCAGGAGAAACAATTTTTTTCTCCAGGTCATTGGGTTTAGTTTTTAGGTGGGTTTGTATTAACACAAAAGTGTGCTGGGCAATACAGCAGACACACTTTGTAGCACTGGTGTTGGAAAACAAGGAGAAGATCCACTTTCTGAGTCAAAGTGCTGAGAGAAATTCTGTCCTGAAAACTGCATACCCTTGCCATTGGCCCAGAGTTTGAAAACTGTTCTAGGCACTGTATATGGGTCATGGTGCTGCAATGTTCTGATGAGTCTTCCCTGGCAGCTTCCCATCCATTGCTCTTACCTTGTCAGATTCTGGTTGTTCTTCCACAGGACTTTGACTGTGATGACAATAAATATAACAACATTGCTGATGAGGATAAGGGTAACAAGTAAGAAGAATGACCACAGCAATGGACTTTGTATATAATTATTGTCTTTTTGAAATGCCAACCAGCAGCTATGGAGAAAAAAGAAATTATTTCAGCAGACCAAGGAAGGTATAAATACTAGTTCCTTATGTCATTAACGTTATGGCTATTCACTCCACTGAAAGACCTGCTAAAGTCAATATCTATTTGCATCCTGTGCATTTGAGATGACTTTCAAGAACCCAACCCACTATAAAAGTGAAGTGGGTTGGTTCTGCCACATTTCTCTATGAGCCAGTATGGGGTAATGGAAAGGACATTTTGAGTCAGGTATGTCCTGAATTTAAGTTGTCAGTCTCTGTCACTTACTAAGTATCTGCCTTTAGGCAAGCTATTATTTTTATTTTATTTTTGAATATGTAACACATCTACATCATTCAAAATGTAAAAAGGTACAAATGGACATAGAGGGGCAAGATTCTCTCCTGCATCCATCCCCAGCCACCCAGTTTCTATCCCCAGCCCAGAATCAATGTTTCTTGTGTATTATTCTAGATTTAGGCTATGCATATGCCAACAAATGAATACTTTTTCCTGATTTTTAAATAAATGATAACATATGGTACATACTTCTATACTTCACATAACAACATATCTTGGAGATCATTATGCATCAGACTATAGTGTCCTCCTTATTTTTTTTAGCTGCATATTATTCCATTGTTTTGATATACAATAACTTATTTAAATAGCCTCCTATTGATGAATTTTTTAAAAAGTAATGTTTAAAAAAAGTTTCAGACATTTAAACTCATTGCATTTGGGTTTTGTTGTTGTTGTTGGTGGTGGTTATGGAGTTTTTTCTCATCTGCGAGGTGAGAATAATAGTAATCATCTGGTATTGTTCAAAGAATTAATTCATTTATTTAAAAGGCATTTATGAAGTATGTTCTGTGTGTCAGCACTGTTCTAGACACCAAGATATTAGCAGTGAACAAAATAGACAAAAATCCCCTTCATAGTGGGTTTATATTGTAGTGGAGAGAAGTAAATACAACAAACAAGTAAATAAAATATGAATTATATCAGATAGTGACAAGTGCTATGGAGAAAAATAAAGCAGGTAGTGAGGGTAGAAATTATAGCGTGTGTGAGTGTGTGTGTGCATATGTGTAGGAGGTGTCTCATTTTCAATAGGAAAAGCTTCATGGGAAAAAGTGATATTTGAGCAAAGGCCTGAAGTAGAGAAGAGGAAAGGCATTGCAGGCAGTGGGAATAGCAAGTGCAAAGACCTTGAGGTGAGAGCTTAACAGTAAAGAGATCAGCATGGCTGGAACAAAGTAATTGGATGGAGTTTGTGGAAAAATGCAGATTATGTAGGGGACTTGTAGGCAATTGCTTGTACTCTGGGCAAAATAGAAGACATGATATGATCTGTCTTGAGTTTTAAAAATGAGATGTGAGGAGGACAAACGCAGAAGTAGGAAACAAGCTAGGAGTCTATTGCAAAAATCCAGGTGGCCTGGACCAGGAGATGAGATGTTAAGAAATAGTCTGATTCCAGAGACACAAGGAAAATATTAGCCCAAGAGACAAAAAGGGCCACATAAACCAGAGACTCCATCAACCTGAGATCAGAAGAACTAGATGGTACCCAGCTATCACCAATGACCTCCCTGACAGGGAACACAACAGAGAGTCCCAGATGGAGCAGGAGAAAGTGGGGTGCAGAACTCAAATTCCAGTAAAAAGACCAGACTTAATGGTTTGACTGAGACTGGAGGGACCTCGGAAGACATGGCCCTGGACTTTCTGTTAGCCCAAAACTAAAACCATTCCCGAGACCAACTCTTCAGACAAAGATTAGACTGGACTGTGGGACAATAAAATGATACTCCTGAAGAGTGTGCTTCTTAGCTCAAGTAGACACATGAGACTAAACGGGCAGCTCCTGTCCAGAGGCCAGATGAGAAGGCAGAAAGGGACAGGAGCTGGTTGAATGGACGTGGGAAATCCGAGGTGGAAAGGAGTAGTGTGCTGTCACAGTATAGAGAGAGCAACTAGGGTCGCATAACAAAGTGTGTATAAATTTTTGTATGAGAAACTAACTTGAATTATAAACTTTCACTTAAAGCACAGTTAAAACAAAGAAACAAATAGTTTGATTCCAGATATATTTAAAAGTAAAGTAGAGGCTTTTTGGTTGATTGGATATGGATGTGGGAGAGTTAAGAGTGACTCGAAAGTCTTTGGCTTGAGCACCTAAAAGGATGAAATTACCATTAACAAAGATGGAGAAGCAGGTTTGTGAGGGAAGGTCAGGAGTTTGCTGGAGACATGTTACGACTAAGATTTCAATTAGACAGTAAAGGGAGATATCAGATAGGCAGTTAGGTTAACAAAACAACAAAGCTCTGGCACACATTTGATCTTCAATTAGTGTTTGCTTTCTTTCCCCTGTAGGTAAAACACCATTATTATACATGCAAAGGATTTCTAAATCACTTTGTATTGGAATGTTGCGGTAATTAAAATTATCAGAAATCATATTCTTAATCTGAAAGACCTTGGAGGAAACTGGACTGATGTTGGTCTCTGTAATAAATTAGTAAGTGAAAAGGCGCCCCTCTATCCTATAACATAGAATAGGCCCAACCCTAAATAAAATGGTGAGAGCAAAGTTTGCCTTCAGGACTGCTAGCCTCCCTTTCCTTTCATCTGTAACTGTAAGATCTGTAACCCTCCTGCCATCCCCCACCTCCCACCCTATACACAGAAGAAATAGAGGGTCTCTTGGCTAAAAATTTAATGAAATCCTGCTGAGAGGTACTTTCAAAACTCTGGAAGCCTCTTTGCGTGGCTAAGTAAGTGGCCATCAGAATTTATAAATGGAAAAGATGGACCCATTTCTTATCCAAGCAGCTTTGAGGATCACAGTTTAAAAGCAGAAGAAAGGTAGAGAAAGAGACTGAATAATCTTTGCTCATGACATACCAATTGTATTGGGTAGAGGCAGACTTGTACATTATGGGGCAATTAGAAAAGTAGTTATCTTTATCTGTGTCAATCTAGAGTTTAAACTTTAGACAAAACAATTTCTGAGAATTACAGTTGGTGCAGATGTGTGGTTGTGTGCTCGTGTGTGTCTGTAAGATTCCACAGTTACCTCACACAGATGAGGAAACCTGAAAAGGAAATGGGCTGGGATACCCATGTCCATCAGGAAGTATGCAGTAGGAGGGCCCCTTGTACTATCTTCTGGGCTGCTTGGAGTGATAAGGGCCACAAGAGGTTGTCATTCTGGATTTGGTCCTATGACACCCCCTCCCTTAGTTATTCTGAATTGAATAACTCAGGTTTTGGGAAATACACTGCTATGAAGAGGAATGAATCCTACAGTGAGACCAACCCTTGTAGAGATGGAATGGGATTTCTGGAAATGAGATTGGAGAGTCATATGGCCAATGTTGATCTGACAGCTACAGTGCTGAGATTAGGGGTGCATTATAGCTGGATCTTAGATGAAGTGCTTAACTCCTTAGTGATTTTTGCCATGGAACATGGTAAATTACAGCTTTAGGTATACAGCATACACTTGAAAATTTTTCCCTTCATATATTATAATTCCCTGTGGTTGCCTCAGCCCTTCAGGAAAGGCTGAAACTGCCTATATGGTGGTGGTACAGAGAATCAGGGGATAGAGTATTAAAGGGGAGTGTGGCCTGCCCTGCGTTCACCTCTTAACTGGGCCCACATAGAGATAGCAGCACATCAAGGAAAGTTGGTCAGCATTCAGGCATGACCAGCAGAGCTGGGAGCAGTAGGGGAGAGCATGGGCTATTGAGGAGCAACTGCTGAGAGGAAATTCAGGAAAACCAGAAGTAATCCCTCCTCTTTCTCAATATATCCTGCAGAAATGTGACCCTTGATGTGTGTGTGTTGTGTGGGAAGTGGAGGGATTAGGGGATAGAAGGTTGGGGGACAGAGATTAGAAGGAGGAAGAGAGGGGGTAGAAAGTCAGGGCAAAGGGGTTGGAAGATGGGAGAGAAAGGGTTAGAAGGTATGGGAACAAGAGCCCAAGATGAGGTTGATACTCATGTTGCACATCCTTTCCTTTTACCCAACTTTTCTTATTATCAGTCACCTACTGTCTTCCCTTTGCTAGGAAAGGACATCATGTTTGGTAAAGTAAAGTTTCAGCAAAAATGAGGAAAATCCTCAGTGAGATGGATTGACCCAACTGCTACAACAATGGACTTGAGCATACACCAATAATCATGAAGATGGCACTGGACCAGACAACATTTTGTTCTGTTATACCTAAGGTCACCATGACTCAGAACAGACTCAACAGCAACTAACAAGTGTCTTCCCCAATATCTAATACTGTACCCATGAAAGGATCTGCTCTCAATTATTTATAGCTCAGTGTGAATAAACTTAAGTCAGTAGGCTTCTGTCTTAGGCTGGGTTCTCTAGAGAAGTAATACCAGTGAAAATGTATACATATATATATATATAGAGAGAGAGATTTATATCAAGGAAACGGCTCACACGGTTGTAGAGACTGGAAAGTCCCAAGTTTGTGGGTCAGGCTGAAGGCTTCTCCTGATTCTCATTGCTGCAGGGGCTGACAAACCCAAGATCGGCAGGTCAGACAGCAAGCCTCTGGCTCACAGGCTGAGGAGGCCAATGAATCCCAAGATCCACAGGTAGCTGCTAGCACAAGTCCCAAGAACAGGAGATCCAATGGTGAACCACACATAGGATCCAGAGCGAGTAAAAGCCAGCGAGCTTTGCCAGGAAGTCCACATATATTAGATGCAGGCCACCCCCCTTAGGAAACTCCCTTTCAATTGATTGGCTGTTCATAGCCGATCTCATCATTACATCATTACCTAACTGCCAAACTACATCATAACTGCCAAACCACATCATAACTGCCAAACCACTGAGAATCATGGCCCAACCAAGTTCATACACAACCTTAACCATCACAGCCACCCTTTGTCAACACAGCACCTGTATACATCTCCCTAAACTGTACACAATCTCCAAATAAAGAAAATTATAAAGTCCAATTTTCCTA